AAGTATCAACAACTGAATCTAAAAAAAAGTAAACAAACAACCAGAACATGAACAGAATCCTAGATATGGAGATCATTTGGAGGGTCATCAGCTGGGAGGGGGAAGGGGGAGAGTGGGGGGAAGTGTTCAAGGATTGAGAAGCATAATTGGTAGGTACCAAATAGACAGGGAGCTAAGAATAGTATAGGAAATGGAGAAGCCTAAGAACTTATATGCACAACCCATGGACATGAACTAAGGGGTGGAAAGCTGGAGGAAAGGGGGGTACTGGGCAGAGGGAGACAAAGGGGAAAAATTGGGACAATTGTAATAGCATAATCAATAAGTATATATTTTTTTAAAAAACTAAAAGAAATAGAAACTAAAGCCAATGCTGGTGTGATCCAGAGAGGGGTGAGATTTGGCAACAAGCAGAGCTCAAGCAGAGCCCAACAGAGCACAGGGTGCAACTGTCCATTCATACACCAACATCATGGGTAATACAGTGCCTGAGGTGCTTGGGGTAACACCGAAGTTGAGGAACAAGAGGAGCACTCCCACCTGTCGGGGAGCACAACTCTTCTCTAAGGAAAACTTGACCCAGGGTAAGAAAACAGGACTTAGTTTAGGCCCATCTGAGGACCAATCAACCAGCAGGAGCAGCTGGAAGAGAAAAAAGCAGGAAGCTGGTGGTGGGGTGGTCAATGCGGGGACTACCAACTGAGACTGGGCCCACCAGTCTTCTGGGAGGCACAGCCCCCCAAGGGCCCATCTGACCCAAGCAGTCCTGGTGGAAGCCAAGCTAGGAGTAACAAGGGTCTCACTTTGAGCAATCAAAGAGGCCATCAACAGGCCTCCCCCACCTGTAGGTATGGGAGTGGAGCTAGGATCATGACTTCTTAACTTGGACAACAATGTGCCTAGCAGCAGAGAAGAACCTTTTCTGGCCATCTGAACCCTATTTTTTTCTGTACTTTCTGAAAAGAGAGAAGCTGGAAACCCTACACCCATCCAGTCCTCCACACTTGGTCTGGGCTCACTCTCTAGACCAGGTATGAGCAACTTTTGTGACATCACGTGACCAATAGAGGTCTGTGACTTAAGCAGCCAAATGCCCCCACAACCGAGATTTCAAAATTTTGGTAACAGTACATATTGGGCATCTCTGCTGTGATCAAAGGCATTTCTGACCCTAGTGTTCATTGATACAATCTTGGGTGGCAAATGCTTTTTGTTCTAGAGCAGATCCATGGCTAGTCCAAACATTAATGAGCTGGATGAAGCCAAGCCAGCCCCATCTGAGGATAGAGTACCACCAATAAGGGTCCAAGCTGATAAATCCCTGGATCTAAATGTGGATCCAAGAGAAGCCTTGGAGGGACATGGGGACGAAGCCTGGAGCCAAGATCCAAGCCCCCAAGACAATCTGCAACCACAGAACTCAAACCAAGTTGCTGCCAACATAGAAGGAAACAACATTCTTCTTGGGCTGTCCTTCCCATAAAAGCTTTGGAGGATAGTGGAGGATGACGCCTTCACGTCTGTGCACTGGAATGAAAATGGAAACACTGTGATCATCGAGGAAGATTTCCAGAGGGAGGCTTCTTTGCCGAAGGGGCACAGAGAAAATGTTCGAATCAGAAAGCCCGAAGAGTTTCATCAGTCTGATGAACCTCTCTGGATTCAGCAAAATACACCCAAGTGACTATTCAGTTCACTCTCCAGAAAACAACAGATTAATGGTAAAGTGGAAAGTCCTCCCATTTATCATATGCTCTGTTACTCGAATATCTTCCCAGTAGATGAAGAAGAATGATATACTGAAAGGGTTTCATTTCAAAGGATAACTCTTTTTTCACCTGAGACAGTATTTATCAAAAGATAAGAAAGTATAGATTTTCATATGAAACTATCACCCCCTTAGAGATAACCTGCAGGCATGACTAAAGACTAAGACTCTGAGAGGCCAGTTAGTGTCAAACAGATATATTGTCTCTCGGAATGACTAAAATGATTAATTTTGTTTCAGATCTACCACAATGCCAACTTCCAAAGAGACAAGCCTTGGCTCATGGAGAACATTAAGAGAAAAGGCAACTGGATGACTACTGCAGCTTGGCCAGGGACCAGTGCAACATCTCCAAAGAGGAAAAAGCAGGTGGCCCCTACAGGACACTCCCCAAGAATGAACCATAAAGAAAGCAGCAAAGCAGCCGACCCAAAGACCCAGAAGAAGGCTCCAAGTGCTCAGGGACCCAGTGGCATCCGGTCATTCAAGTTCTCAGGTCTGCGGTCCACAAGTTTGATAGTGCCATCATGGTCCAGGGCCCAAGTAAGCCAGGTGGCCCAAGTGGAGAGGGCACACCCGGGAATGTCACGTTTGTGCCCACGGCTCCTGCCAGAACCGATGGCACAGGGGAACTGCCCGCCAGCCACCCAGGTCGCCCACTGTATGATTCGGTGATGTCTTTGTACAACACCTATTATTCCATCCTGATGGCTGCCCTTTCAGTCATGGCCCCACTCACAGACCTTGATGAGGATGGGGAGGAGAAGGGCTCCTCAGATTGCTCGTGTGCACTCTGTGAGCAATTCAAGGACAGTACAGGCCCCTAAGCCCCCAAGTGACAGAAAACAGTCACCACTTTGTACCCACAAATCCATTTTCGGCTTCAATGAAGAAAAGCACAACTCCATGGAACTAAATTAACAATGAGAATTGTGAGTCCGTGCCCTTCTGTTTCCATGCTACACACACCTCGTCAGACGAGCCCCAGGAGGCTAGTAATCCTGGCCCGAGACAGGCTTTTGTCCCCACTGTCCTCATTCATTTTCACACACTCAGCCAAGGGTCTGGCTAGGGAGCTCTGAAGCAAGCTCAGGAAGATCGGGTCCCCTGAGCCTCGCCTGCTGGTCAGGAGAGAGAGCTGCCTGGCTCCTGACCTTGGGGGGAAGGCGGAATCACCTTACAATAGTCATGTACCTTAAAACAGGAGGGTCTTTCCTCACGAGTTCCCCTGTGATGCCAGGAAGTTTCTGACCAGCAGCTGTGCGTCTCTAGCCCCATTTCCAGGGACCTTCCAGGGAGACCCACATAAAACTAGGGCCACCTTATCTGCTCAGCCATCTCTGACCAGGGCAGTCTGGCTCAGAAGATGGGCCGTTCCAGTCAACCCCTGGGAGAAAGCCCATCATCCTCACAGCTAACAACCACTAGTAACTGCTGGAAGGGGCCCAAATAAATAAAAGGTTGCCCACAAAACAAACAAACAAACAGACAAAACACTACTCATCACTTTTCCATCAGAGCTGGATTTCAGATCCTTTCTTTGGTCACAAAGTAGCTGTGTGACATGTCTAACACACGGCTTCATGAGCCAAGGGACACTTTTACAACAGAGCAAGCATCACTTGCCAGGACAGGCAGGTGCTGTGTTTCAAAGTCTGACGTCCCCTTCATGGTGCACGAGGCCGTCCCTGGCCGGTCACCCTCGGGTAACCATTCAGCGGCCACTCCCAGCCCTCCCACAACATCCCCTGCCTGCTGCTAAAGCGTTCTCTGAGTTTGACCAGAACGAAGAGAGAGGAGAAAACATGTAAGGGAGCCCCGAACACTAACCCGTTCTCTTAAAACATATTTGTCTGTACAACCCAGGAATGAGCGGGACCTAAATGAGTGACATCACCAAGATATTCAGGGGACACTTTCCTTTTTTCCTGAAGGTCAAAGCCCTTGAGAGTGTCAGTGAGCCCAGAGAGGCATCTCCCGAGGAAAAGCCGCTGCATCTGAGCACAGAAGGCTGTCTACATGAGCAGCAGGTGGCGGGCAGCCCTCTCCACTGTGCTGCCGCTTCAGACTGAGCCTGATTTTTGCGTCCGCGGCATGATGGCGTCCCCATAGTCAGGAGTCAGCTGGTTTCTCGGTAACCTTCCTGTGAGGAGTCCTCTTGCCCCGAGGGGATCAGGTACTCTGGGATGTCCACCTGGAAGATATCCTTCCCACCTGTCCTGGGTATGGGCTCCAGTAACCACCTGGGGTTTGAAAGTGCAGTCAGGTACTTCTGCTTCAGGTTGGTCAGTACAGCTTGATTTTCCAGCTCCACAAGCTCATCAGGAGCTAAGTTTTCCGGGCACTGCAAAGTTTCCCCAATGTCAACGAGCCCTGCGCACCAAGAGAGAAGCACAGAGATGTTTTTCCTTCCATCGACCAAGGCCTGCCTGCGAGAGAAAACGGTTATTCAAAGTTACAGCCGCTAGAGACTAAGCTGATATCACCACACGGACACGGAGTGAACTGGGTCCCTCTCACTGAGCACTTCCGATGAGTCCAGCTCTGTTCAGGGCATTGTGGGTGAGGCCGCAGCAGAGAGAGAAATGAAGAGGACAGGGCCTTGTCCTCAACAACTCCACCCAGGAACAGGCAGGTTCCAGGCAGACTGCTGAGGGCAGCACGTACAGGTCAGAAGGGCCCCGGCTGCCGCGGGGAGCCCACAGGCCATCGGGTCCCAAGCACGTCACCAGGTGAAAGGAGCTGATGTGGGACCTCAACCACTGAGGGGTGAGGGAACTTGCTCAGGTGCCCATGGGCAGTGAGGGTGGGGCAGGTGTGTGACGCCTGAGTCTGGAGGTCACCCGGCCCTCTCTGTGTGCTGTGCAGTCTCTCGCGGCCGGCCCCGCATGCGGGCACACGTATGCACACAGACACACACGTGTACACACAGGCAACACCACATGCCGCCTTGGACTGGTCCCTGCCTCTCAGACCACCAACGGGAACTGAGGCCCAGGGTGGACAAAAGGGTTCACCCAAGGTCCTGGAAACTTGTCCCACGGACGCCCAGCCCGGGCGCCCCGGGGCCCCCTGCTGCCCCTTTGAAAGTGTGTTGCTTATAGAAACCACAGCCCCACTGCAACAGGTTCTAAAGAAAACAAGCCCCAAAACTCCTGAGCAAGGTCCTGGGGGGTGCCCCTGGAGATGTCTGAGCAGTGCTCGGGGTGTCGCCACTTGCCGGCTATCACGCCACGGCCATACTTCTCCCCTTCCCGGAGCAAGGCCTGAATCTGAGCAGGGCTCCTCCCCAGCCTCTGCAGCAGCAGTTCCCTCCAGGCGGCATCTTCCCAGTCCCTGTGAGCAATGTGGACGGCGATGGTACAGTGCCGGTGGCTGCTCAGCAAAGGACGCCAACGAGTCTCCAGAGTCTTGACCCCATTTAAGACAAAACCTGCATAAGGCTGCCGGAAGGACAGGCAGCAGAACTTCATCTCCCCGGAGATCCGTGGGCCTCACGTGGCCTGCGGAAAACACAGAAGCACCAATGTCGGTAAGCGTCATGCACCAGCCCTCCAAGCTCATGGCCTGTGGGCTGACCTCCGCCCACTGTCCCCTGGGGACTCAGGAACCCCACTGACAGGGATGGTAGGGGAGCAGAGGGCGTTGGCTCCTTCTTCCTATCACCACGCAGTCAGTTGACAGGCCCAAGGAAAGAGGCTGGTGCTGGGAGTGCCTCATCCATTAGATGGCGTCTTTTGGGGGCTCAGGGAAGAGGGCGGGCACAGCTACAGAAAGGAAGTCAGGACAGGGTGTGGTCAGTTCTACAGAGGAGGTCACTGAGGCCAGGGGAGCACAGAGCAGGGAGGGAGGGACCTTTGGCTTCACCCCCGGGTGGGTGGGTGGGCTCTAGTCCTCTCCCAGCAATGGCCACCCTGGGCTTTGCTTCTTCTCCCCACCCACCCCAACACTCTCAGCTCCCTGGCCCTGCCACTCGCAAGACACTGCAGGTCCCCAAGCACCCTGGCCCGTGCCCCAGGGCTGCTGAGTGCAAATCCTCGGGATCCAGCCTCAGCTGGGCCCCGGGGACACCGTGTGATCTCAGATAACCCTCTCAGGTATCTCCTCCGGACCCCTTTGGGTACCACCCTCCTCTATCCCCTTGCTACCCCACGGGTATCGACTGTCAGCAGACACCCCTGGCACCCACCCGAGCTCAGAGAAATGGAAAACAGGAGCAGGAACAACTGCCCCTGGTACGCACGCCCCGACCCCATGCCTGGCCCTGGGATGAGTGTGATCCACGGATCCTAGAATTGAATCCTCAAATAACTGGGTAGGGGTGGCGCCACTGTCACTCCACTCTGCAGTTAGGAAGGTGGCACCGAGGGTGAACGGACGACCCACGGTCACGGGGAACCTGACTGCGTGAGCCCCTGCCCTTGCCGCCTTTCCTCGTACCTAGGACAGAGGTCCTTCCTCCTCGTTGGAGGACAAAGCTGTGCTGTGCGAGGAGCAGGGCCCTGGGCCGGAGACTCAGCTGGGTCAGAGTACCTGGCGGAGCCTCAGTCTCCAAGGGGTTGTGAGTACCTGGCACCGACCTAACAGGACAGCCACAACCGGTGGCTGCCCATCATCATCATCATCATCATGGGGCCTGAGCCTTGCCTCTGCCCTCCATCCATGAGCACACCCACTCTCGTTTGTCTCTCCCCTCCTGTCTTTAAAGGACATAAACCTCACCTCAGCTCTTATGTCCTCTCGTGTTTATGAGAACACATCCACTCTCAAAGACAACGCCTGGGGGAACGAAGCTGCCTCGTGTTCACTCCCTTCCCAGCCCACTGTCCTGCCAGTCCCTGTGCCCAGCTTGTCTACCTTCCCTCCCTGTCTCTGGCTGGGCTGTCTTCCTGTGTGCTCTGGACCCCACCCTTCTTGCTTCTGTGACCGTATCCATTAAGAAAAGGGCTTTACAGAGGTAATCAAGTTAAAATGAGGCCCCATCCAATGACTGGTGTCCTGTCCTCACCTAAAGGGAGAACTTACAGACAGACACACACGCCAGAGAATGAATACCTTGTGAAGATGAAGGCCGAGATCTACAAGCCAAGGGATGCCAAAGCTTGCCTGCAGACCACCAGAACCCTGGGGACCGAGATGGGCAGATTCTCTCTCAGTCCTCAGAAGAAGCAAACTCGGCCGACACCTCGATCTCGGACCTCCAGCCTCTGCAGCTGTGAGACAATACCTGTCTGTTGTTTAAGCCACTCGGGCCGCGGCTCTTTGATGTGACCAGCCGGACAAACGACTACAGAGGCATAGGCTCTTTCCCCGCACATCTTCACAGGGCAGAGAATGATTCTGCCATTGGCAGCACTTCAAGCACACTCCTTCACGTGCCTGCATTTTCTCCTATCCTATTTTTGGCTGCCTGCATGGTACCCCATTGTTGGCTGCCCTACGATTTACTGAGTTTCCCCTACTGACGAAGAGTCACAGGCTGCTTTGCACTTTCTGCCACTCTAAAGGGCACTACCACAAACACTCGTTGACTGAAGACTTGTTAGGAGGACACCTGGGTCACAGGCATGCACATCTGAGATGCTGATACATGCCAGCAAACGGCCACCCACCGAAGCTCACCCGTGCATGCTCTACCAACCACGGTACTGGTGCCATGCCCTCACACGCTTGTCGGCCCCGAGCACTATCACTGTATTTAACCTTTGCCCACCTGATGGGTGACAAAAGGTGGCCCTAGTCATTGGGTTTGGATTATTCTGGACAGAGGCTGGATGTCCCCCTGTGGCCTGGCCATTTCCACTTCTTCTTCTGGGGTATATGCCTAGGTTCCGCTGTTGAGTTTCTTGACCCTTTTCTCATCAAGGTTCCCCCAAAACCACAACAAGGAGACCTGAACTGTGTGGCTGGCACCCCCAGGGAGAACTGGCGTAACTGTAGAGGCACAGAGGGGGCTGAGTGCCCTGCTGCCTCACGGTGCAGAGTACCTGCTTAGCGGCCTGAGGAATAAACACTCTTCCACGTGTCTCTGCTTCTTCACCTGCACAAGGGCAAGAGGGATAATGAGAAAAGGTCATTAGGGACAAGACAGCAATGTTGGCTAATATACCAGAACAGTCTTCTACTCTGCAGGGATTGGAAACCACCAGGACCGAGGAGGTTCCAACTGATGGGAAGCACACATGGCCGTGACCCTTCACTCACGGTTTGTTTCTCTGAATCGTGGCAGTGGCTTTATCCTCCCCTACCTGGTCAGGGACTACATCATAGCCCAGCCAGCCTCACAGAAAATCATTTCACGTAGGCGGGTCATGTCCTTACAGCCCAGCAGACCTGGTATCCAAGAGGAGAAAAATCTTACCTCCCCTCACATCATCACATGGGAAGGCTGAGCACTTCCTCAGGGAAGTGGGGAAGTCACAGCCTTGCTCAGACTCAGGTGAGCAGAGATTGGGGTACAGTTCCTGCAGGATCAAAGCAAGGACCAAAGAAAGTACTTTCGCCTCCAGGAATCCTAGCTACACTCCTGCTCTCAGCACTGGGGACGCCAGATATGCTTTCCGGATGTGACGTCCAGTGACTTCTGCCCGGGACGTCTGATAGAGGTGAGGGCCCCGTCTGGGAGGCCTGCTTCTGGTCCATAGAGGGAAGGAGTCCAGTATGGCAGAGATTCAAGGTGTGACCCTGAGGGAGGACTGAACCCCCTGCCCCCGCAGAACCCAGGTTTGCCCCTGCTGTCAGCACTGAGAGTCCCGGGGTTGGGTTGTCTGGATGAGTACTATGTCCCACAAGCTATACGCCCTCACCTCCTCAGGGAACTCGGGAGTCCAGGGCAAGGTCTGAGGGGGAGCAACTTCAGGTCTGCAGGGGGCGGGGCCCCGGCTCTGCCTGGAATCAAGGTGAGAGCCAGAGAGAGGACTGAGGGACCCCACGGAATCCATCTCAGCCTCTGCCGGCAGCCCAGGAATCCCTGGGCGCGGTGTCCTGATGTGATGTCCACAGACTTGACCTGGGGGTCCCGAGGCATTGAGGGCCTCGGTCTGAGTGGCCCGGCCTCCCGGTTAACAGAGAGGGAGATTCCCAGAACCTGCCAGGGCCCAAGGTGAGAACCGGGAGGGAAGAGAAAGGGACTCTGGAGCCTACAACAGTCAGTCCTGGGAGGCCCAGAGGACAGGATGACCAGAAACGGTGATTCATAACTTCTGCCTCTCCTGGTTCTGACACTCTGGGGGCTCCGTGTAAGGGCACAGCCTCTGAGGTCGGCAGAGGGTGTGTCTAGGACATGACCGGAGTCAACAGAGGACCCTGAGGGAGATCGAGGGCCCCTGGCCCCCCGAATGGTGTCAATCTGGCAGGTCTCAGGGAGCAAGGTGGGAGGGGTTGGATGGGGGAATGACCACACATGGTGTTTTCTGCTTCCTGTGCTTGGTTCTGAGAGACCCTGGGGGTTTGGTATAAGGAGCTGGGCTTCAGGCAGCAGAGGACAGGAGCTCGGGGTCCTGCTGATGTCAAGTCAAAGACATTGAGGGAGCAATAGGTGACCCTGGACACCAGAATAATCAGTCCTGGGAGGCCGAGCAGGTGGGGCATCCACGGGCAGCGGTTTCCTGACTTCTGTATCCAGGTGTGAGAGACTGCAGGGTTCGGCGTAAGGAGCAAAGCCACAGGTCGGCTAAGGGGACCCTGGACCCCACAACCTAGGGGGGGGCCCATAAAAGCCCACCTCTGCTGTCAGCCATGGGAGCGCTCCATGGCAAATGACCAAGTGCAGCATTTCCTGACTTCCGTATGTACCCAGGTCTGAGTGGGACTCGGGACTTGATGAAAATTGCAGGGCCTCGGGACCACAGAGGGGATGGCAAGGTACTGCCCAGGAGTCACGTGGCACTTCCTGACTTCTGCATCCGTTTCTGAGAGGCCCTGGGGTTTGGTGTAAGGAGCAGAGCCTCAGGGGAGCAGGGGGGAAGGCCCAGGACCTGCCAGAGTCACGGCGAGGACCCTGAGGGAAGACGGAGGGGATCGAGGACCCCTAAACAGAAGGGAGCCCACCCGAAGCCTTCCCTGCTGAAAGTCTTGGGAGGCCCAACGGTGAAAGAGCACCCAGAGGAGACACTACCGAAGCCCATACCTGATGTCAGCCTCGGGAACTCAGGGGGAGGAATGACGCGCTCAGCAGAAGGGAGGGCCCAGGTGCTGCCATTGTCAGGGTGAGGATACAAAGGGAGGATTGAGGGACCCTGGACCCCACAGCAGAGAGGAGCCCACATAACCCCTGCTGTGAACCCTGGGAGGCCCTAGGCCCGATGACCACATGCTTTGCTCCTGACTTGGGCACATGTTTGTGAAAGAATGAGGACTTGGTGGAAGGAGCAGGCCCTCAGGTTGGTAGAGGGGAAAGCCCAGGTCTAGCCAGGAGTCAAGGTGAGGACCCTGAGGGAAGACTAGGGGACTCTTGCACCTGAGGTCTGAAGGGTCAGGCTCCCGGTAGGCAGAGGAATGGGGCCCAGGCTCTGCCAGGACATAAGGTGAGGCCCCGAGGTAGGACTTAGGAAGCCCCCTAGCAAACCTTGAAGGGTCTCCACTGTTCCCGCTTCCTGCCATCAGCACAGGGAAAGCCGCACGGCAGGGCTGTCGGTGTGCGTTGCTTCCAGACTTCTGCCTGAGGAGTGGCAAAGGAAGGTGAGGGCATTGCCTTGACGGGCCTGGATGCAGGGCAACAAGGGGAGAGGTCCCGGGCCCTGCCAGTAATCAAATTGTGGGTTTTGAGGCAAGATGAGGTCACCTCCCACCCCAGCAGAAACAGGGACCGGCTGGCTCAGGCCTTGCTGACACAGCTGGGTTGCTCAGGGCATGATAGTGGATGTGATGTGTCCTGAAGTCCACCTTGGAGATCTCAGGGAGATGAGGGCATTGGTCTGAGGGGCGTAGCTTAGGTGATGGGAGGGAGGGGTCCAAGGCCCTACGGACTCTAAGGTGAGAACCCGCAGGGAGGGCTGAGAGGGTGCCACCCTAGACAGAAACGTTCCCCACTCTCATATACCGGAAAACCCCAGCAGTCAGCCCTGGGAGGCCTGGAGGTTATCAGGAAGAGACTCCTCCCCCACTTCCTCCTTGTGAAGGTGTGTCTGCAAGAGGGTGGCCTTGGCTTGCAGTAGGCATTCTCAGTTCAGCAGAAAGGAAAGGTCCTAGGCCCTCCACCAGTAAACATGGTTTCCTTGGGGGAGAACTGAGGATACCACCCTTCAAACAAAGGGGGAGCCTGAAACCCACTCTGTGCTGCTGTCAGTCCTGGGAAACCCCTGGCATGGGTCTGTGGAGGTGGTTCCACCTCACTCTTGTCTCGGGGCTCTCAGGAAGTTGAGAGCTTTCGCCAGAAGGGATGACCTCAGTTCATGAAAAGAGGGGCCGAGTTTTTACCAGGATTGTAAAGGGTCTGAAGCCTTCCTTGGTGAGCCGCACAGATAAATGTAACACTAATGAAAATTTATGAAGAGGGAGATGATGATATGAAGTGAGCCATTAATAAAGCCTGGGTAGGGTCAAGAGAGAAGCAGGCCAAAGGAGACATAGAATTTTGAGACTTTAAAGTTCTTTTGGCAACTGTGACGAGGAAATATTGATGTTTCCAATCAAGACATTTTGGTGAGCTCCACAGATAACTTAGATAAGTTTACAGAGCCTTCTTCTAAGTAAAGGCAATGAATTCTCCTACTGGTGGATTTATTTAAATAAAATATGCTTACTTTAAAAAAAGAAGAAGAAGAAGAAGAAGAGACCCCACAGCAGCAATCGGTCCCCTGTCCTCGCCATCGGGAGTCCCCAGGCAGGGTGCCTGGGTGGGACATGCTCTCCCTTTCCACATGCTTGCTTCTTGTGAGGGTTTCTCACTGAGGACAGCTAGTCAGGGTGAATTCAGGTCAACAGGAGTTCTGTCCATGCCTAGCCAGGAAGAAAGGCAAGCATCTCGTGGACAGACTAAGGGGACTCTACTCAGAACAGATGGGCGCAGGCCCTGCTGCCAGTCGTGGGGGAACCTGGGCAGACTTGGAGCAGGTGGGGCTCCTGTTCCCATTTGCCTCAGAGCTCTCAGGAAGGTGAGGTCCTTAGTCTGAGAGGACCATGTCCCCGGGATATATACTTGGTCAACAGAGAGAGGAGTCCCACATCCTGCCAAGAATCAAGGTGAGGGCCCAGAGGGAGGAGTGGGGGTGTCCCACTTTTCAGAACAAAAGTGGGCTCCACAGATGGTATCTGCCTTGCTCTGAGTGTTAGCCTTGAAAACCCCAGCCGGAGCCCCTTCTCATTTCCAGATCAGCGCTCTCGGGGCCGGGGGGCTGTGTTCTGAAGGTCTGGACTCAGGTCAACTGGGGCGGGATTCCAGGGCTTGCCAAGAATTAAGGTGAAGAATGAGGGGAACCAGAGCACATGAGAACCAAGACCTACCCTGCCCCTTCTGTCAGCCATGGGGAAACTCAGAATGGTGCATGGTTTGGCTCAGCTCTCTTCCTCTTCTGGTATCTATCGGAGGTGCATCCTAAGCCTAAGTAGAGTGGGCTCACTCAGCAGAGTGAGTTGTCCGGGGCCCTGCAGGGTGTCATGGTGAGGAAACGATTGGAACCTTAGCCCAAGGCAGATGGACCCAAAACTTCGGTCACCTCTTCTTGATCCCATGGGAGGCCCTGGGCAAGTGTGACCAGAAGTGGAGCCCCCTCATTTTCTTCTCTTCGGGGTCAAGGATGTGTGGTCTTATTCTGAGAGTTGAGCCTCAGGCCCGCGGGAGGCGGGTGAGGGGCCAGGCGCTGGCAGGGGAAAGGTGAGGATCCTGAGTGCACAACGAAGGGACCACCCACCCAGAACAGAGGGGACCGCACAGAGTTCACCACCACTCCTGTCGGCACTGTGGTCCCGGGTCTGTGCTTGCCATCAGCATGCTGAGGTGCCCCTTCGATTCCTCTTACAGGGGCTCCAGGTTCCAGGAGGCTAAGGCTTTGGTCTGAGCTACATATTCTCGGGTCACAGAGCAGTGGAAGGCCAGGCAGTG